GGGGGGGGGGGGGGGGGGGGGGGGGAGGGTCCCAGGTCGCCCGTCCGAATTTTAAAACGTCTCGTGTCGGTGGTTATAAATGCTTGTCGCTTACTGTCGGCTTTACCGTCACTGTCGCAATTTGGCCGAGGGAGGTTGTCTCTTGTCGCGATCTCATTGTACCCGCTGTTGGGCCATGTCGCTTGTCGGAATTTACCATGGCAGGGCCTCTTTACAGGGATTTAGGTATGTTGGCACCTTGTTTGCATTTTTATTTGTTTTACCATCTGCATTTATCACACATAAAGTACTGTAAATGAAAAGTAACTAACGATATCAATACATGTACGGTGAGTTGTGTCCTATTTATAAAAAATATTGGGCACTCTCTTTAGGCATCTTTAGTGTTTGATAAAAATCTAATGAAGAAATACTGCAATCTAGTATCCTTGCTTTCTATTGGTATGAGTCACAGAATGTAAAGTTTGAAATTAAAAATGGCATTAGTATTTGTGATTTCTAATCCTCATACAGTTAAGCAGATTAAGTTACAAGAGTTGAGCTTAAGAGACATTAATGGTTTTTGCCCTTATTTCATTTTATTTCATGAGAATGATTGTATCAGTGTGTAAAAACACATGTCATCACATATTTTTTGTATGATAATAATTTTTCTCAATTCAAAATGTGAAAATCTTATCTGTGTTTACAAATCTACTATAATCAGGGGCAACATGTAGGGAGGTCCCTTTCCTTTCTTTTGATCCTCCTCCCTCCAACTACTTTTGTTTAATTCAAATATTGTGTCATAGGTGTTATAGATGTTATAAATGTATTCACCTTTTATTATATTGGAAAAGTGATTAGTATTTCAGTGCTGTCATTTTATGGCGACGGATATTGTTTTTTAATTTCCTCCCATGTTGTTGCTATACTTCAGGCTTACTGTGGTGGATCCTAGTAGTACCCCCTTTTTTCCACTTTGGATATCTTGTAGTTAATTTTTTCTCACGTAAATTTTATTTTTCTTTTGTTTCAACTCCATTAGCATACTAGATTAATACACCCAAAAACAAAAGAAAAAGAAAAGTTACCTGAGAAAACGAATCAACTTTCGTTTCCTGCCAACTATTTTTCCCTTAGCCTTTGTTCCCCAATTATAACTTAGTACAGCCATGAGATGAAATGTATTAACTAAAGCCACCAAACTATGCAAATCCCTGGATATAACTGTGTTCTTAAGGTTAACAGGTTGACTGACCTCAGTTTATACGCAGTTTGTTGACACTAGCCATTTAAAATATGTAGGAATGGCTCCGAGCCGTAATGAAAGTAACCGCTGACCGCCTCACATGAGCTTACACATTGCCATCCATAGCAACATATAGCCATACATAGCCACCCATAGGAACCATAGTAACATATAGCCATACATAGCCACCCATAGCAACCATAGCAACATATAGCCATACATAGCCACCCATAGCGACCGTAGCAACATATAGCCATACATAGCCACCCATAGCCACCTATAGCAACTCATAGCTACACATAGCCTCCTAAAGCCACCCATAGCTACACATGGCTACATATGGCCAACCATAGCCGCTCGTAGCTACACATGGCTACACATAGCTACACATAGCCATCCATAGCTATACATAGCCACCCGTACCTATACATAACCACACGTGGCTACACATCGCCACCCAAAGCCACACACAGCTACATTTGCGTTCTTTCAAACTTATTCGCGTCTATTTGGACCCGCTCAATATGTCAAATGCAGGCGACTTTTTTTATATATATGGGGGAGGGGGACGGGGTTGAGTTGAATTTGTCAGGACTTAATCCAGGTTCAAAAAGAGAAAGGAGAATTAATCGTCGTATGTCGAAATCCTTCATAAAACGTTGCATTAAGAGGTTTCACTTCGTAGTCGTGCAATGGACGTCAAAGAAACGTACTAAAATGTGTGATGCAAGTGCAGGGCTGTTGTTTTGCTCATAAAACCAATTGTTTTTCTAAGTTGTCGTTCAGTGCGGTCTTCGTCGTAGTTGCTTAAGCTCCCTAACCCTTAACCTCCCTTCTTTATTCTAAAAGAGAGCTTGATTGTGATAATATATAAAATTACAAGCTAAAAATCATGTTGTAATGTTTTGTTTTAGTTTGCAATCTATGGCGCGCTTCATCAACCCGAACGGGTCCTACTTCAACACACATAGGTTGGACTAAAGTAAAATTTTCCTGAAACTTCTAAATCTCAGTAGGGAAAAATAAAAATGTTGTAGGCTAAGGGCGGTACGCAAGACCTTGAGCTCAGTTTCTCCCAATAAGGACCGACCTAGGCCGGTGAATAACATATATATCTCTTAAGTTTGTCACTAAAAAAATACTACTACTACTTGCCTAGGTATGTGTAGCTATGTGTAGCTATGGGTGGCTATGTGTACTAATGTGTGGCGATGGGTGGCTATGTGTGGCTTTGTGTGGCTATGTCTGTGCATGGGTAGCTATGTGTGGCTTTGTGTAGTTATTTGTAGCTATGGGTGGCTATGTGTAGCTATGTGTGGCTATGGGTGGCTATGTGTAGTTATGTGTGGCTATGTGTGGCTATGTGTAGCTATGTGCAGCTATGCTTGTCTATGGGTGGCTATGTGTGACTTTGTGTAGCTGTGGGTGGCTATAGGTGGCTATAGGTGGCTATGTGTAGCTATGGGTGGCTATGTGTGGCTATGTGTAGCTATGTGTAGCTGTGGGTGGCTTTGTGTGGCTATGTCTGTGCATGGGTAGCTATGTGTGGCTTTGTGTAGTTATTTGTAGCTATGGGTGGCTATGTGTAGCTATGTGTGGCTATGGGTGGCTATGTGTAGTTATGTGTGGCTATGTGTGGCTTTGTGTAGCTATGTGCAGCTATGCTTGTCTATGGGTGGCTATGTGTGACTTTGTGTAGCTGTGGGTGGCTATAGGTGGCTATAGGTGGCTATGTGTAGCTATGGGTGGCTATGTGTGGCTATGTGTAGCTATGTGTAGCTGTGGGTGGCTTTGTGTGGCTATGTCTGTGCATGGGTAGCTATGTGTGGCTTTGTGTAGTTATTTGTAGCTATGGGTGGCTATGTGTAGCTATGTGTGGCTATGGGTGGCTATGTGTAGTTATGTGTGGCTATGTGTGGCTTTGTGTAGCTATGTGCAGCTATGCTTGTCTATGGGTGGCTATGTGTGGCTTTGTGTAGCTGTGGGTGGCTATAGGTGGCTATAGGTGGCTATGTGTAGCTATGGGTGGCTATGTGTGGCTATGTCTAGCTATGTCTAGCTATGGGTGGCTAAAGGTGGCCATAGGTGGCTATGTGTAGTTATGTGTGGCTATGTGTAGCTATGTGTATCTATGGGTGGCTATAGGTGGCTATAGGTGGCTATGTGTGGCTATGTGTGGCTATGTGTAGCTATGGGTGGCTATAGATGGCTATGTGTAGCTAGGTGTAGCTATGGGTGGCTAAGGTGGCTATGTGGAGTATGTGTAGCTATGTGTGGCTAGGTGTAGCTATGGGTGGCTATAGGTGGCTGTGTGTGGCTATGGGTGGCTATAGGTGGCTATGTGTAGCTATGGGTGGCTATGTATGACTATATGTCTCAATGGGTAGCTATAGGGGGCTATGTATGGCAATGTGTGACCACATGTCAAGCGGTCAGCGGTTACTCTCATTACGGCTCGGAGCCATTCCTGCAGTTCAGGCCATGTTTTTTTTTACCTTCGCCGCCATCTTGAAATTTCTACATCCATAATGCATCGCAATCGCAGTGCAAAAACCGCCTGGAGTGCGGGAGTGCTTCTAGTCGCCGCCGGGAACAGCAGGTGGCGAGGCTGGGATGGAGAATCTTGACTTCTCTCATCCTAATTATTCTTACGCCTGTACAGCCAAAATCATTCCACGGGTGCTTTAAACAGTCGTACACGTCAAATCCCGTCAGCTACGATGACTAAACGCTCTATAGTTAGAAAGTTTCCAGTTCGCCTTATTTTTAAAAACAACTCAGTTTTTAAAACCAAATCAGTCCCACATCGACGCATTAATTACTACAGCTTCGTTAGAAAATAACCCCATTCATTAAACTGCCACAGGCAGACCACTTCGTAACGTAAGCATACATCCTTAAAAGAAATTTTACGTCACATTTTCCAATCAACATTATCTATAACTCGTAGCTTACCGCTGATGGATCACCTCCACAACATTGTCCCTAAAATGTCCAAACATTTCTCCTCCAAACCTCATGTAAATTTTGTCTCCAAGATATGGCTCAAATTTAAAATGGGGCGCAAGTACAGCATGAAAAACAACAGTCATTTTGTCGCCGTTATAATCTTCAAAGTACTCCTTTTTCATTTTTGACGGCGTTTCATTGTTTGTTGCAAGACCAGAATCGTTTTCCTCGTTGTCATGAGTATGTTCGTGATCATCACCATCAACTGGCTGGTTGGTTCCGAAACCGCCGCCCTTTTCCTTGTCAGCCACTTGGTCATGGTTATCACTCCTGCAAAGAGTATATTATTAATTAATGAAAGAGGCTGAGTAGGATATGAAGAATTTAAGCAGATCGAGGAGGGTGTTATCTACCGAGGGCGAAGGCCGAGGTGGATAACACCCTCCGAGATCTGCTCAATCATTCATATCCTACGAAAGCCTAGTTCCGGCTGTTGTTCTTACTCTTGAAACGAGTGAAATGTCCGCCATTTTTTTTTCACAACCAAAACAACTCAACCTCGTCCCCAGGTTTTCTCGGTTAACGGTGCCTTAACCTGTAGAGGGCTGCATTTTTGACGTCATTTCCTCGTTAAACACAAAATTCTTCCAAATTTGGTAATCAGTAACTGGTTATGGTGAATTATGCGTGTGCTTTTAGCCAATCAGAATTGGGGAAATATTTTGAATGAATAATAAATAGGTAATAATACACTTTACTCACGATACCCGCCCTCTCTCCTCCGCAGAGGCCTCTTAACCTAGCGGGAGTCTCTGCGGAGGAGAGATACTTGCCATGGCTTTCTGTCACGTGGTTTCTCTCAGGGGATAAACAAGAAAAAAATTGCTAATGCAAGAAATGGCGGTCAAATTTGCTTAGTGTAGACAACAGAAAATGAAGCACTTTTAATCTGAAAGAAGATAATGGCAAAATATGGGTGGAAGTGCTCGTTGTTACACAGCAAGAAAAGTGGCAGTTTGCTACTTGTAAAAAGCGCGGTAGCGACCGTATATATGTTCTCACAGCAAACAATAAGATTGTCAATCTTGTCGAAACTCGAACTGTACATTTCATGACTATTAAGTCGCCGTTTCGTTTTTACAGAATATACAAACGCGACGGCGATCACTCGTATTGGCAAATTTTAGCACTTGTTTGCTCCCTGAATTCATGAATGAAAATAAAAAAAATTTTGAACTAGATAGCAAATAAAAAAAATAGTAATAATAATAATAATAATAATAATAATAATAATAATAATAATAATAATAATAATAATAATAATAATAATAATAATGGATACAATAAGGGGTACCCAAAGCCAAACTAAAGTCTAATGATTCAAGATATACTGCTATGAAGATGTTCTGTATAAAAGCCAGCAGGAAGCACCAAAGTTAACCACCCTGATAGACAACTGGAATGTGTGGCTGGTGTAAGTGACTGCTTGAGCAGCACAAAGATTAAAATAAATACGAGAGTACAAAATCAAATGAATGAGGGATAATGGCGTTATAAGGATTGCAGCCAGGGGGATAGAAAGTAGAGAGAAGAAAGGTGGAGTGGTAGAGGCGCAGGTGCAGGTGCATGCAAGAGTAGCAGCCAAGACCGGCTTGATAAGTAAAGAGGATGAGGATTTTACAATTAAGCCTAAATGATCTAAAATGTTAATGAAAAAAAAAAGGTCTACCAAACAAAACAATGGACTCACTGTGCTGCTTCTCTAGTTGTTTCCTCCTTTTTCCTTTTTTCCTTATCCATAGTGGTCTTGCTCAAGGACGGGTGCTTTTCCATGCCTGCAGATTGTACCGTCTTATCTTTTGGTGGATTAGAATTTAAAAGAAAGTTCTTCTCAATATATGTCAAGAATTTGTTAAAATACTGACCCACACTTTGAAATTGTCATCTTTGTTTCACAGTAACTGATGTACTACAAGTTCGGAGCCTGCATTTTGAACAAAAGCGTATCTTGAATGTGCTGAAATAATGTTAAACTGGTCTGTAAAAATGCTGTACCCTGCGAGCAGAGGCTTCTTAATTGTAGCAGTTACAAAGTCATGTTCATTTTAATTGCCGTCAGTTGCATAGTTGGTTTACAGGGTGTTTCAAAAGTTCGTTCCGATTGTAAATTGCATTTTGCGCAAAGCCTTTAATGCTTCTTTAGACAAATGTAAACTAAATCAGGTAAGAAATTTATCTAAATAACCGTTCAAAGCAATTTCAAACTAAAATTTGAAAAAAACTATATTTTTTTAAATTTTTTGCCCTAACTGTACACGTACGCGAGGTTTTTCCCGCCATACTTTTCCTGCCCCTTTTGTAGGTTTTCTATTTTTGTATTTTTATCGTTTTCTTTCATTTTCTCTACTCCTTCATGAAAATGAAGGCCTACACTGTTTGTGCTAGAGCTCATGCATCTATATTAATGGTCTTCTGGCTATTCAGTCAAAAAAAATTGTCAAATTGTTGAAGAAGTCAGAACGATGACCGAACAAGTGGTCAAAAGTGAAGACCTTAGAAGACACCAAATCAAGGAGTGGATGGCCGTTTTTCACAAACTGCGTGAGAAATATTATCGAAAAAGTTGTGAGTATATGCGTAATAATTCCACAAAACAGAAAGTTAAAAAAAGTTCAACTTCACATTATCGATTAAAGTTTCGAGCACAACGGTATGGGGATAAGTTACCCCCAAAAAGTTGGAAGGCCTTAAAGAGAAAAAGGTGGTGCACACTTCATGCGAGCGTGGTGTCAGAAGGATTTGCCAACTTTATACCGAAGGAGGACCGGCCGGCAAACTCATGTGATGTGGGCCCCCTAGATACCATCTGGAGTTTCGTAGACGAGAGGAAATACAAAGATCCAGGCCCCAAAACACTGGACGAGTTAAGACAGTGACTACGCTTCGCGTGGAAGAATGTGACTTTGGACACGCTTTGGGAGCTCGTACATTCTATACCTCACCGCTTAGAAAATGTCAGAAAACACAGAGGAAGACATTATGGTTACTAATATTTTAGTTATTAAATGTTAAATGAATAATGAATAACATACTAAGTTTTACAAAAGGTTTTTTCTTTTAATAATTAGTGAAATTTAAGCGAATAAAAAATCGGAACGAACTTTTGAAACACCCTGTACCTTTGTAAACAAACCAATTACGTGACTGGCGGCAGTCGTAAGTACTAAAGGCGATGCATGAAATGCTAACATAGAATTATTTAAATTTGAATTAAAAAGCCTCCTGCCAAATCAATGCAGGGCTTGATGGAAAGGGCGTAGATGAAAATTTTGCTGAAAATAAAACTCATGATCAAAACAAGAACACTGACGTATAGTACAGAGATGTATGAGAAGAAGGTTCATTGAAGAAAATCAAAACTTAATTAATATTGATATCTTTTCAATAAATGCAAGTAATTAAATTAAGCAATGAATCAATTACTGCTGTCATGAATGAACGGTGGATGGAATTTAACTTGGAACTGTAAAAAGATAATTCCGGAATGGTGAAGGGATTCATTGACTTGCAAAGTGTCAGCTGTTCACCTTTGGATTTTTTAAAACGAGCACATCACATAATATGTCAACTCTCCCGGATTATTTAGTAGTCCCATGAATAAGGCACTGTTGTAGGTTTCAGGCCTCTCAAGACCCATGGTAGGTAAGTAGGTTTAGCCCAGTTTCTGTTTTGTAATCACATATAGTTGATGAAGCTTTTTCCTGTAGTTAAACGAGTTTTTCATTAACTCACAACTACAGTGAAACCTCTATAAAGGGGACACTTTTAGAACCTTCTCAAGTGTCCGCTTAAAAGAGGGTGTCCGCTTAATATAGGTTTATAAAAATTGCACAATGTTTGTTAACGATTAACATTCAACGGTTACTCTGTACTGTCATAAAGTTCCATGTTGTTAAGGGAGCTAAGGGACCACCCATTACATTACAAAAAAAACATTCGCGCAAGGGAAAACTAAATGAAAAAAATTCATGCACGCCTATTAACCCTAAAAATATTCATGTTATGGTCTCAGCACGGCAGTGTCATGATTCTAAGAAGAGCACCAATTGATAGTATTGAAACTTAACAAAGCGAACTGGACTTAGTTGATATTTGGAGAATTAAGAATCCTCAAACAAGAAGTTATACTTGGAGCCAAAAATCCCCAACAGTTCTTCGTCGTCTAGATTTTTGGCTTTTCTCTAATAATCTCTGTGATTTTGCGAACGCTACTGGAGTACTGCCTGCAATACGTACAAATCATGTAGCAATAACCTTAGCTCTAAGTGACATTGGAGAGATAAAAGGTCCTGGAATATGTAAAATGAATGTTTCGCTTTTAGATGATGAAAACTACTGAGAACAGTTACGAATTAATATAGCCAAATGGAAACTAGAGGGTGAAAATGAACTGTCTGA